CAGCGATTCCTTCACAGTGAAAACAACACTTTCACCATCGTCACACACACACTGTCCGTTGCTAGACGACGCCATGTTGTTGTTGGCTGTACAACAACACGTGAAGTTATTGTAACTAAACCAACTTACATGTACGTCAAAAAATATTATTCTGTTATTAAAATACAAATTATATCTGAATAAAATTGTTAGGTTTGTTTTTAAAGCAGTAATACCAAGTTAGCAAATAATAAACTACGTATCAAAAACAATATTCCAACGAGTACAGTGACGTTTACAAAATGTTGTGTGCTAACCTAGTGCAAAGAACTTTCAATTTCGTAAGTTTAAACGTCATTTTCTCGTGTTTGTAGAAGTTCGCACAGCTGAACTGTTTTGTAGGGCTTTTAAATATTATTAAAATAATTATCACGAGGAGTTCAAGTATAATGATAATTTTGGAATGGGGTTGAACGATAGAATTTTCACCCCATGGCCTAAAAATATTGGCATAAATTTTAGTTTTACGCAAAAGAATATTTAAAAAAATTAGAAATACAGACTATTTCTCATAGGAGATTACCATTTTCTCTACTAATTCTTCGTTACTAGGCAAATTCAGAGGTTGTAGGTCGCATCCGGATGGCCGAATTAGGTTTTGTTTCTCTTAAAAAAACGTCGGAAAGACATCGATATGTGTTTTTTATATAAATTGTTCAGGAGCATTTGATTAACATGTTTGAATTCATCCTTAATGTAAGAAAAGAATATCCTACACTTTGTAATAGAAATACCTGATGCAACGAACTTGCTCATTCTTTTTGTCATAGAATTATTGACTGTTGGAATTGCCTTCCTTTACATGTGCGTAATGGTAATTTTAATTTAAGAAATTTGTTAAGGAATCGTTCATATAACTTTCTTGTTCGACTATACATTTTGCTGATGAGTGCTTGTGGATCTCAAACATCTATTGTACAGGAACTCCGTTCCTTTTGGTATGCCTGCCTCCCCACTCACCAGCAATCTGTATACGCTTTGTTTCAATGGATTTTGTTTTCTTTCAATTTTAATGTTTTAATCTTGTATTGTATATACATATATATTTTTATGGAGGAGATAAATATAATAATAATAATAATAAATAATCCGCTGGAATGTTCTCGCTTTTATGTATACTTTATACAGTCAATAAAGTGCGCCCTCTCTAATAAAATTGGTTTTTGTACTTCGCATCTCGCAAAGTGCGATCGATCGAGTAGACCTGAGATATGTTTGTTTAATTGTATTTTTTAAGACAATCACTTTTTTAACAGATTTGAAATAATTCCTATGAAATATATTTTACAAGTGTCAATACTAGCAACGGAAAATATCATGTTGGCCATTTTTATGTGTGATAACAGAACCTAAAGTGAGGTAAAGCCTAGCCTAGCAGTGTTGGATAGGCTAATGTTTTCGGCGCCTACTAGATTTCTTCGCAGACCTATCGCAAAATCAAACATGAAAATTCATCCGCATTTATTGACAGAAAAAAAGTTGTTTGACGAAAAACTGGGGAACGGTGAATGAGATACAGATTTTTTAATATTTAAAAACTGGGGGGATAAGGTGTAAAAATGGGCAGTTACGCCCCTTTTTCCCCCAGTTTTTAAATATTAAAAAATCTGTATCTCATTCACCGTTCCCCAGTTTTTCGTCAAACAACTTTTTTCTGTCTTAGAAAAATCAGTTCTACAACATATCAAAACATTTTTTCCTCCGGAGCCTGACTTTAAGTACAACAACTAATTAACACAAAATCCATTTAGATACAGTACAATTAATTATTACTACTTTGACTATATAATATTTTCAGTAAACAATAATTTCAATAAATAACAGTGGCAGATTCAGGGAGGGGGGGACACAGCTTACCCCCCCCACCCCATTACATGTTTCAAAATTATTTTTAAAAATGGGAAAAAAAGGAAATCATGTTTGAGTGCCATTTCCGGCCAACTTGAGGTGCCACAATCATAAATTTTCTTACCACAGCCCAAACCATGATGGGACTAAAGTGTTATAGACTCACAAGTCACAAACTCGTTCTCTCTTTAATATCACTAATACCCTATTCAGACTAGATTTTGCATTGTGACCGATTGTGATGCAATCGGTGGTAAACAGTTGTAATCCAAATTGTTCGCAACCATTCGCAAACTTCGACAGCATTCAGACACCTTTTTACTTTGATACTTTACATCACTAGCAACGATATAGGTCATTCTGTTTTGTTTGACCTTGGCCAATCAGTGCCTATGGAATCCGTTGTGATAAGATTCCATGGTAATCGGGAGTAATAAAGATTGTAGCACCCAATTGTAACAGGTAACAATTGCGAAATCGATTACTTATCGACTACTATTGGTGAGCATTCAGACACAATTTTACTTTGCGATTGGGTGTCGCAATTGCTACAACCAATTGCAATGCGAAGCTAGTCTGAATGGGGTATTAGGTAAAAATCACTACAGTGAGCATCTCCATTCCTGAAAGTTCCTCCCTATCTTTAATTCCAGGATCCAAGGGCATCGATCCGTGGTTGAAAGTGGGGGGGGGGGAAACGAAATGAAAAATGAGCCTTGGGCCATAGGCCCAAGCCTTGGTTGGCGACCAGGGGGCGAAGCCTACGGAACCTCTGGCGCATATAGCCTTTTAAGCAATGCAATTAACATTTATTTCCATACGAAATTTTCAAAATATCCAGTGGCGGATCTAGTAATTTGAAATAGAGCTGGGCCCAGAGAGGGACTTTTACAGATGGAGAGTGTAGACCACCTCAGCCCCACCCTAGTTGGAGCTGTGGTAAGAAAATTTATGATTATGGCACCTCTAGTTGGTCGGAAATGGCACTCTCAGACTGAATTTGAATATAATTTCAATTTTGAAAAAAAAAAAAAAAAAAAAATTAGGGATAGTTGGCCGGCTGAGCCCCTTGAATCTGCCACTCAAATACTCATCGTAAAAAAGTTTTTAAAATTATCCTTTTAGTCATAATTATGCTCGCTTATGTATCTCGTGCAAACTAACCGTCATAAAAATAATGATTTATTATCTACTGATTAGCCTGTAACGTATTCAAATTTCGAACCATGAAAAACAAATAGGATAAACTTAAAACAGTCATTAATTTAGTCTTTTTGCATGTACAGTATTTTTAAAATCAATCAAGAGGTTTTTGCTTTTCTCCTTTTTTTCGAATTTCACTTTTGTGTAAGTAATATTACGACTACACTATTGTGAGTGAAAATAATACCGTCTAATTTACGATCAAACAGGACTAGGGAGAGAGCACACAAAACGTTAGTTAGCATTTTGGTTTTGATTTCACAAACATAAAGGTGATTTACTTAATTTATCATTATCAGTGGCGGCGCCAGGAAAGCAAATTAGAGGGGGGACAGGGAAAGACTTGCACAATTTGAGAAAGTAGATCACCTCAGCCCCACCATGTTTGGGGCTGAGGAAAGAAAATTTATGATTGAGGCCAGACATGGAGATAAGCCAGGCTTGAATTAAGCTCAGCTCAACGTTAAGCCCGGCTTAACTTTGCCGGGCATTCAGACTAGCGAGTTTAGCAAGGCGAGAATTTGCATAATAATGAACCATAACCAGGAAACGTGTTTCAAAACATTGCTTGCGAAACGTACGCTCGCTCACAGCATACGTAATTGAATGCTGATTGGTCATTTCCTCACCGGAAGTCAATGCAAGACCCCCCGCAATGATTAAAGCCCGGCTTAGAAAAGTTAAACACGGTGGCGCGCCAGGCCTAGTTACTATAGGAACACAGCCCAGCTCGAGATAAGCCACCTAGTTCAGACTGGCAGCAGACTTATCCACCTAGTCTGAACTAGGCCTATGACACCTCTAGATTGCTGAAAATGGCACTCTAAGACCTAAATTCTAATTATAATTTTCCTTTGTTTTTTTCCATTTTTAAAAAATAACTGAAAAATTTAGGGTTGGCTCGGCCCCACTTGAATCCGCCACTGATTATTATGACGTCATTGCGTCAACGTAACACTGGAGTTTGTAAAGTTTTGGTAGGCCTATCACTTAATTGAAATAGATAGCCATATCCATGTCAAAGGCTGTATAATTATTGTTTAATAATGGCTATATAAAATTCAATTGACTAACTATAATTTTTTGAAATTAGTAAAAACAGTAATCCTATATATGTAGATAATATTAAACACTAGGATAACGTAGGGTCATAATAATACACAAAAGGAATAAATCGTTTATACAGTAGTAGAAATTGGGCACTTTTGTAAAAAATATTGGCCTAATAAGTATACACGCTTCCAATTTTAACAACGTTCAGTACATTGTTTTCACAATAAATAGCCTCTGATAACCGTTGCACCCATAAAATCAATCTAGTGTTTTCTGAGATGGTTACGAAATGTATAAACAATTACGTTTTTACTTGGTTTTGGTCCGGAAAATATGTACCACACTTAGAAAAGTGAACAGACAAAATTCATGAGTCATGCGTAATTGTTATTCTTTCCATTCGCTTTTAATAGTGGGGATTTAATTTTAGAAGATTGGTGAAAAGTGGGGGGGGGGACAATCGATATGATGTCCCCCCGACTTTAAAAAGTGGGGGAACGCGCCCCCCCCTGTCTCCACCGATTGACGCCCATGCCTGGATCTACCACTGAATAAGATGGAATATCATACATTAACATACTAAATTTCAATAAACTGATACAAATTTTTAAATAGGCCCCCAAAATTGTTGTGTTTTCCGAACTCCAAACTGTCACAGTTGAAAATAAAGGTTGGACAGTGTGGTTCCCCCTCCCTTGTAAAATTATTATAGGCCTATTTCTAAAGCCCTGTCCAGACTATCAAATTTTATTTGACAAACAACTTGTATGTCTATAAATAGGCGTGATGTGCCTATATATGGTCATGATGTGGTGTCACCATAACCATATTTAGGCATGTCACATGTGTTTACTTACATCCAGCTTCCAGGAGCGGCAAAAAAGTAACAGTTGCAGTGATCTGACGAATCACATCTCTTATTCCTCGGTTGATCTCTTCCAGGGATTTCTCTTTTGGCTTGCTGTATTTTGTAGCACCAAGATAAAAATATATGTAAGATGTATTTATAACATAGTGGGAGACAATTGTAAAACAAATACCTTTCATTATAAAATATAATATTAATAATGATGAAAAGTCATTATACTTTAATAGTTTCAATGTTAGTGAAAACAAACAGAAGTACAATTGTACTTTAATATTCTTTGTAATGTTTTTGTACCTAAAGTTATGACTAGCAAATCATCTTTTTTTTCATTACTATAAAAAATATGGTTAGTGAACCTTTTCTTGGCTTATGACTAATGTAAGCTAATGTTATTTCCTTATAGGAAACCTTTATTAATTTGACCAGTTTAAATAATGTGTCATGAGCTACTGTATACCAATCTAAATTAACAGTAATAAAAGGACCAGTAGCACATGTGAATAGTGGAGATATTTACTTTCACAAGCTTCCGCGTACACAGTATTAATGAAGAAGTGTAATGTGTATACCATTGGTGGGCATAAAAATGGGTTTGAGGGCCAAAGTGAATATCTGATTTAACACAGAGGGCCACACCCAAACATGTATGTTTCCAGTTTTCTTCTAAATCCTTCATACACTATATTAATACCGCTTTTTGCTGAGTTTTAATAATATTATTTGTTTTAAAGATGATGGGTATCGGGCCATAAAAAACAAGGGGTTTATAAGGCCGGCTGCTTTTTCTTCTTTTGGCCTTTTCAGCTTAGTTAAGCCATTAATCTTGACACCACTCTTTTCCAATTCAGCCTCTTGCAATTGCTACCCTAAAACAGTTGACAAAGAATCTGTTAAACTTAAAATAAATTTTGTCAATACGATTTAATTGAGAATTGGAGGCCGAACTAAAAATAATGCAACAATACTCTAAATGTGAGGAAACTAAGGTACGATACAGTGATATGATAGCTTTAGGACTCTCAATATTCTGACAATTTCTCCAAATAAAACCAAGCATTCTGTTGGCCTTGCAAATAGTATGGTCAACATGTTTACAAAATGATAATTTATGGTCAATGAAGACACCAAGACAACAATGAAACAAAACTTTTTCTAATAAAACGTCCGCAATCTTATAATTAAAAAGAACAGGTTTATTTTTAAAAGAAATAGACATAAATTTACACTTATAAACACCGGAGTACAGCATACGGATCCTCCTAAAGACACCTGGCATCCTCCTCGGTACTGACAACACGATACAGTTTTAAGTAAGCAGCGTACATAAGGCAGTGTGAGTTATTGACAAAATTAGGTCCTAAAATGGATCCCTGCGGTACACCAGAAGGTACATGCTTCCAGTCAGAGTAAATACCGTCAATAACCACACGTTGACTACGATTACTTAACTATTAATTAAATCATAAAGAAAACCAGAAATACCAAAAGTTTTAATTTCAAAAAGAAGTTGTTGATGCGACAGACGGTCAAAAGCTTTAGAAAAATCAGTAAAAATAACATCACATTGTCTTTTAAAATTAATAGCATTGAGGGCAGTAGGAAGAAATTGGGCTAGATTGGTTTGGGTGGATCTACCAGGAATGAACCTGTGCTGCAGAGGACTGATGGTAGGAAGGACATGTTTAAAAATTCCGTTAGAAATACTGTAATATATTTGAGATTTTGGAAATGGAGGAAAGCAAAGAGATATGCCTATAGTTAACAATTTGGTTACGGGGGCAACCAGTTTTGTGAATTGGGCAAACATTAGTTTTCTTCCATTGGTCAGGGTAAGTACCTTTAAGTATCAATTGATCAAATATTTTTTTTTAAGGAAAAGCAAGAGGGACAGCACCAACTTTTAAAATAAAATTACTGAGGCCATCGTAGCCAACTGTCTTATGTACGCAGAGCTCAGAAAGATGGTCAGTTACTGCATCGATGCTGACAACAACTGTGGAGAGACTATCCAGTAATTATTCAGGAGCATCTGGAGGATAAACTTTTGATTTAATGTATAGATCTGCATTCTGATTCTTTTTATATGTTGCATTATTTGAAATAGAGATCTTTGCAAGACATTTATGATCTCATCAGTTTTATTTGTTGTCCAAAGTTCACAATTATATATTAGTGGATGGACGAATGTGTGAAGTATTTGTTGTTTGACCGTTATTGGCATCTGCCTGTGGCTGGCAGAGTGTGTTGACATTAGTTGAAAGTATCAATGCATTTCCTTCTTTCTATTTCATTCTCCGTATCCAGCATGGAGCCGAGGAATTTAATTTGCTAATGGGTGTTTTAATTAATGTTCACTGGCCGCAACAAGATCACTGTCAGGGTACATGTAGCCCAAGTGCCACACTCTGCCTAATTGTGGAGTATACAAAAGCCTGTGACAATAAATATCTGTGACCAGAGTAATTGACACATTATTGTAATGTGTAAAGTAGCTGCCAATTTTGTGTATACAGGGGTCCCAAGTTGGGAAAAATCGTTTCCGGGAGATCTGGTTAGGTGAGTAAATTCTTAACATAGGCCTATTTATATTATTCATCGACACTGACTCCATGAGACAACTGATAATAAGGTAGTAAAAACACGCAAATATTAAAAATTTGCTGGAGATTGATTATTTCCCGGGAGATTCTTCTTGTGGGAGGTCGTACCAATTTCAGGAACTCCTGGGACCCCTGGTATATAAAAACTCAATGCCTCAGAGTTTGAGTAAAATAAGTAATTTACAAGAAAGAGAATAAACCTAGGGCCATTATATATTACAAAAGGCCAAAATGCCTCATAGTTAAAATTGACAAGTGGATGAAAATGAAAAATACTCCTGGAACCATATGGAGGCAGTAATGATGGTGATGTTCATGACTAGGAATCTTACCTGCCACTGTTCATAGTCTTGTCACATTCAACATCAAATTGCCAACGTTCCAGAACTTCATTAGTCTTAAGACTTGTCACAACTAATACCAGCTTCTGAACCGTTTTCTGAGTTAACCATTCTAGTGTTTATAAATACAAACAAATTGTTACATTATTATGTGTGTATTTATATATAATTTTGAATAGATATTCTATCTATAGATATGGACTGTGCTAAGTCCAGCCCTTAGATTTTGTTTCTAAGGTCCCACATAAGTTGTCCAGCATGAACGTATGTGAGCATTTGCCATTCCTGGCCCTAAAAAATAACACATTCTGATTGGTCAGTTGTTAGTTCTGATAACAATCTTATCTGTAACATTCCTGAAAATGACAAAATAATTGTCAAAATACTGAGTCCCAACACGATGGTGTGTATCTCAGTACAGTACTTGGTGTATGTTATTATAGTTTCTTATCTCTGATTAATTAGTAGATCTTTCAGCATCAGGAAATGGTCCATTTGATTGAATTGTTATGATTAAAATCTAAAAAATATATGAAGTATTCTAATTTGACTTTGCCTAACTCAAATAATTTGAGTTGAATTGTTGTGTTTTTCATTAATGAACCATCTGCAATTGTTCAATGCCATTTTAGATTCGACTTAGGCAAGTTAAACTGTATAATTAACAGTATTTTAGGCATTTATTTTAATTAACATGAGTTATTTATAAAAATTATAAACCAATATTACTCTGCAAACACTTGAATTCCTGAAAAAAAAAAATCAAAATGACATTATTCCATTGCACATGCCATTAGCTTAGTCATACCTTTTAATTGAGTAACAATATTATTCAGGTAGTTCTTTAAGTCTTCATCAGTTGTAGTCCACATGGTTAGATTGTATTTACTGGAGCGGCTGAATGACTCTGTTGGGTAAATACCTCGCTGGTACAAAATGCTGTTGATTCCATAAACTAAGTCAAAAATAAGATGCATGTGTCACTAAACCAACGCAATATTTATATTTTCAAAGTGTTTTTGGCAGCTATAACTCAAACTTGCAGTCACAACAATCACTGATTAAACAATTCAGTTTGTTGTCATGTGCCTGACATTCAGTTGCCTTAAAAGTAAAAAACTGTGAATAAAAAAGCACAGAAATTATATTGTTTCAATTATTTTTCCCACAAAGAAGTTGGAGTTAAAAGCCGAGAATTACAAGTTGTTTTAATTTGCCTAGTTTTGGACACCAAGGCTCTGAATTTGAGACAAATTGCTTTTTGGGTAAAGCTGGTTTTTGTCCAAACAGCAGATGGTGTATTTAGAGTTTTGACAAAAAAATTTACAGAAACCCAATGTGCTGATTGATGGCAACAGGCCTTGGCTAAATATCCAATGGCAACAAGGCTAGGCCTCCTCCTTTCTACCCAAGACTAGGCTATAACCTGAGGATAGGCCTAGCCTCACCCACTGTGAAGTAATTAAAATTAAATTGTGCGGATGCCTCAAAAATTTTAGTGGAAATTGCTATATTTAAGTAGGTTCTTGGAATCGTAGGCTATTTTACCCCATTCCAGGGGTGGCGCCAGTGGGAGGAGCCACAGCCCCTCGTCGGGGACCTCCCCCCCCTCCTCGGGCAAATCCTGGCACCACCCCTGCCCCATTCAGAAATCGGCCCTTATTTTCAGAAATTTCGCAGACGGACTTCTAGGACAAATTGTTTGCGCGGAGGATATGGGTCCTAGGCCTACTCCCCTGCACAGGCCTTATTTTTCAGTCTGGCCCTAAGCCGAGCTAGGATAGCCTAGTTAGTACTTGTAGTAGTATAATAGGCCTAGCCTAGGCCTCTAGCTCTAGGCCTAGTGTAAGTATTCATAGGTAGGGTAGCTAGGCCTATCCTTGCCTAGACCTTGTAGGCCCTAATGTGGGATCAAAGTTCTTGAGAAATAAAATGTATGTAACACATTATAATTACAAAAGAATTCAGCAACAATTTCACTGGAGCCTTTTAGCGTGATTTTGCTCTTTCCAGCTTGTTTTGTTGTCATTTTTTCTGTGAATCGTATTTACCGCGCACAAATAAAAGAAGATGACGATTGGTGGTTTGTGTGTGCGGATTTGTTTACTAAACCAGAAGAGGGCGCTCGTCTTATTTCGTCTGAAAGGACTACTAATTAATACGTTACCACCGTAACAAACCCAATGGGCTTAATCTCGAGAAAAATCCAATCTCGAATTGAAGCTCCCTCTATAGTTTGCAAAAGTAGCCTCGAAAAGAAGAAGGCCAGGGCTTCTTTTCATGATAGCATTTACTTTTTTTTTGTACATTTTTTTTTAAATGAAATTTAAAAATTAAAAACACGCTTGGCTTATACTGTAGTTTCAGTGATTTAATTCGGGTTAATACACCCCGTATTGATGTTACAATGACCCTATTTATAAAAAGAAGCCCCAGGGCTGCAATTCGAGGTTTTACGGTATTATAATAATAATAGTGTAGATTTGTACAGCACCGGTATCCATCAAACAAGATGCTCATGACGCTTGATATGTGGACTAGGAACTCGATCAATGACATTCTTCGTTCCCTAAAGGTCCCTTCGTTTCGTGCTACCCGGTTGAACCCGATCAACAACTTTCGTCGTTCACCACAGGCTCTCCTGTACCAGAGGCCTGTCTGTGTATCCCCCTACTGTCTCGAAACGTCCACAAGGATTGCCTTATCCGACCACCCGATATTTCAGCATGGAGAAAATATATTGCGAACATTCAGTAATTTTTCATAAAAAAATTGTTAATGGAAATATCTTCTATTTCGTTTAAAATGTTCTAAACTACTAAGAAATTAAGAAGTTTGAAATAGAGGGGAGCCCGGAGAGGGACTTTTAAGATGGAGGGTCTATACTACCTCAGCCCCACCATGGTTGGGCAAAATGTATGAGTATGGCACCTCTAGATGGCCGGAAATGACACTTTTAAACGCAAAATTTGAGTTTAATTTTCATTTTTGTCCATTTTTTACTTTGAAAAAATTTAGGGGGACATGGGCCGGCTGCCCCACCCCCACACTTGAATCCACCACAGGTATAAATGGTCTAACGGTGTTCTAACAGGATTAAAGCCCTATCATTAATTATTATGACAATTCCCAGGCGCAGATCCAGACCTTCGCACCAGTTCGCCAAGGAGAAAGTCATGAGAGATAAAATAGACTGTTGAGTTTTGTACTTTGAATTACGTCACTGTATGGTTATCAAGAACCAACCACAGTGAATGCGTTAATTCTTATAACCTTATTTAAAGGCACATATCATTTAATTATATTTTGTTATTTCAAAATCACAGGTCACTATTACTTTTTAATTAAAAATAGATGAGCCGTAATAGTCTGATATAATAGAAATAAAACAACTGGACATTTAGTACTTTAATGACTAGTTTATTTTACAGAACACTAGCTTTAGTTCACAAAGTGCAATTCTTCAAGTGAGTGTGAAGCTAAACATAAACTGGGTGGATAGTAAGCTGTGTCAAATAAAAAAGTCTTCAAAGTACTACATACTCAGTGTTATATTTACTTTTTAATCTTTTTAATTAATTAATTATTTAAATAAATGTTATGTAAAAACAGGTTTTTATTAGACCTAGAGAATACTTACGAACTCTCTCTGTCAGTAATTATTACGACCGAAAAATATATAAATCTGAATCTTACTTCCGATCAGCACTGAATTTGAGGAGCACAGGCATGTAATCAATGTGTAGCCACCTACTGGGATAGTTGGGACAGTCCCACACAATTTTTCTATTGGCCCACAAAGAATGGGCCCGTCCACATTTTAATAGGTCAAATTATGCTGTTTTATGGACAAAATGAATCCATTTTTTAAAAAGTGGGTCCCGAGATTTCTCATTTTTGCGTAAAATGGGTCCACTTTTATGGGTCCAGATTTTCATTGACCCAATAGTACGGTAAGCTTTTAAGAAAAGTCGGGAAATGAGCTTTCTCGACTTCTGAGGTTTTAATGACTTTTAAGTTCTTAAAACTTAAAGGATTTCCTCCTCTTACAAACGATTTCATGAATCGATGAACCAAAAAGAGAAATGGGATCCCGGTTCCCCCGGAAAAAATTCAATTTCTAGATGGCGGGAAATGAGCTTTCCCGACTTCTGAGGAGTCTTTTAATGACTTAAGTTCTTCAAAATAATATTCAAGGTTTTTCCCCTCTTGAAAACGATTCCATGAATCAATGAAGAATCAAGAGAAAGGTGGGTTCGGGTTCTCCCCGGAAAAATGTTGATTTCTAAATGGCGGAAAATGAGCTTTCCCGACTTCTGAAGTGTCTTTTAATGAATTTTAAGTTCTTTAAAACTCAAGGTTTTTAACTTCCTTGAAAACGGTCATGTAATTTTTTCTCATTATTATTACAGTAAATAGATCTATTATATGTGTGTACCGGTAGGCCTACATACGGTACGTAGGCCTATTCTTTTTTCCATTAATCGATGAACCCCAAAAATAAAAGGGGGTCAGGGTCCTCCCCCGGGAAAATTTTGATTATTAGATGGCGGGAAATAGATTTTCCGACTTTTTAAATTTTCTTATTGTAACCATTGTGGCACTCCATCTGCGCAAATCTCTCCCGGGTCCCCTCTATTTCGAGTTGCTGGACCCGCCATCGGGCCCGCCACAGTTAGAAGTACCATTTCCGGGCTCCTATAAGGATAATTCCATCGGGGAAAAGTGAAGGTTTTGTAATTGGAGAATACCCATATCAAAAGGATACCACTCCTGATAAATAATTTATTCATTGTGATCGTCGAAGCAGTCTCGACTTCGACTTTGTTCGGAAATCACAATTATGAAGTAATATTAGGCCTACAATAGCTTGATGGCTATAAAAAAACTAATAAAATTCACCAAACTTCGTCTGTAGCTTCCACCGGAGCCCCTGGCGGCCCCTTGCCCCAGCCTAGATGCTCGCTTCGCTCGCATACTGGACCTTATGAAATGGCCTCCCCACATTCAAAAACGTCTGCCGCCGTTGCACAAGAGGGACGATGAAGGCGAGTTTCATGGATTGTTTCTAAAGATTTTTAATGGTTTCAGTTTTGTTTGACAGTAGGCCTATAATACAAATACTATTGTGTAGTGGAACTTTTACTGTAGCTTTGATCCAAATGAATAGATAAAACGTAGCATAATTGAAAAAAAAAAACAACTTACACCTTCTATAATAACATTTACAAGAAATTGATTACTTTCAAATTATTTTCTTATACAGTTGCTGGTAACGAAAAATATAATAGGCACCCTATAAATCGATGTGCTGTACGATTAATACCTACAAACAGAATACAGTAATCTTTCTATAAAAAAGAGGTGAGCCCTCTACGACTTTTTATAGCCACCACCGTGGGAAAAACAATGCATTCGAACTGTCATAACTTGCTAGGTGACGTGATGCTATAGTAACGGTACCAAGTATTTGGAAATGGGTAGCAGTAAGTACATATTTATTTATAATGTCAGGTATTTTATACCCGTATTAGCAAAAAGTGTCTTCAAAAATGTTCCCTAAAGTTAGAATAGGCTAGTAGGCTATGGTAATTCACGCAAGGAAAGGCAAGGGAGCCTTGATGTTGTTGCCAATGAATTCGATCCAACTCGGCCACAGATCAACTCGGCCACAGTCAACTCGGCCACAAATTAACTCGGCCACAAAAAGTTTGGCTACAGTCAACTCGGCCACAAGCAAGTCAACTCGGCCACAAGTCAACTCGGCCACAAGCAAGTCAACTCGGCCACAAGTCATTTACTGGTACTAAACTTTGAAGGAGTATTAAGTAATTCATCAAGTATAAAATACTAATTCTTTAAGTATTACTATACTTATTGTTATTATTGTTGCTGTTATTATTGTTGTCATTGTTGTTATTATTATTGTTGTTTTTATTACCGTTAGTTTTAATATTAATTATTAGGCTTAGCATTAACATTATATATTGTTAAAATTTGTGCTGATATTATTATTATTACAGTACCATATACCGTAAATAATAAATAATTTTTTATTATTATTATTATTATTATTATTATTATTATTGTTATTTTATTATTATTATTAGTCTTAGTATTATTATTTTAATAATAGTAATTTAAAAAGTTATTGTTATTGGTGTTTTATTGGTATTTTTCTCATTATTATTATTAATATTATTGTTGTTGTCACATTTATTATCGATATTACCATATTATTACTTAAGTAGGTCTAGTATCATTATTATTATTACTAATTAGTATTACTATTATTATAAAAATAAACATTATCTTTAATTTATTATTGTTGTATTATTGCTATTATCACCTTCAATATCGTTATTATCACTAATTAGTTATTTAAATTGATATTTAAATATCATTGTTATTGCCATACTAGTATTATTACTATTAGTATTGTTAAAATAAATATTACTATTAATGTTGTTGTTGTTATCACCTTTATTATCATCATAATGACTAATTAGTATTATTAAAGTAAATATTACTAATTTATTGTCGTTATTGTTGTTTAATATTATTGTTGAAGTAGAATGTTGTGAGTAAACAGAAGACGAACCATTAATAAATAACTCATTTTAATTCATAGGCAATTGCATTCAATTCTCTTTTGGTAGTGTGGTGGTCCTGTTTTACTAAAATATACTGTGTACTTTATTTCAATCATATATTGAAGAAAAAGCAGGCCCGTAGCCAGGGGGGGTTTTTATGGTTCGGGCGAACCCCCCTTTTCTAGCGAACCCCCTCAAATTTTTGAATGAGTCCCACTCGGAAGGAATGTCTGTTTTTAACTTACCTAGCATTAAATCAAAATTTAGCACCTAATTCATTATTTGGTCACCCGTTTTTAAATTGTAGCCTGCGATACAAGCCTACATTCATAGAATATCTCAGCTTCAGAAGTT